AGCCATGCTCCGAGCAGCTTCTCTTTTTCGCGCGTTGAAAACGCCGATGCCAGCACGAAAATGCTCGATCGCGGCCATTTGTGAACTGTCCGTGAACCGATCAAAGCAACACGCCGCGTTCTATCGCGGCGAACTAGTTGATTTTCTTTTCAGTAAGTCGCTTTATGCGTTCGATCAATTCTTCTAGGCTTCAGTTGTTGAGAAGAAATAAATTTTCTGATGAAGCAGACGTTTTCGAATTTCTGTATTGTAAAATAGTTTATGACTAACCGTATCGAGGATGTTGCAGACTTTTGTCGCGTCGATTCGACGATTTTCCTAGTTATCTATGGCACGAAGATCGCCGGATAGCCGAAGGTCGAATTGTGGCCGGGTCTTCTGTAAATTTTATGATTTCCTTCAAACGGCATACGTCCGGGACGCACGATGTTACTTCTGATTTCGCGGAAAGGTTGGCCGTAAAACCTGTTTGTACGTCTCCGTAGTACAGATACACACCGGATTGTGCACGTCGCGTTTCCGGCAAGATACTGCAAAGCATAAGTGACTCGGTTGACCGCCGTTTCCACTCCGTGGAAATGCTATTTGCGTTCCAGGGAAATCCAAGTCCACTTTGTCCTCCCTACCTCGTACTACGCTCGTTCAATCTGAATTTTGACGATGCCTTCAAAGAGACCGGACCGTCTCTAAGAGGGATGCATTCGAAGCACCGCTACACTATCCCTTAATGGAATTAAGCAATTGAATGTTTGGTTAATGATGTCGGGCTCGTGGGTTCGAGCAATGAATCGCTAACGAAACCGAGTAGAAAGTTCAGGACTTACGAAACATTAGATTATAAATCACAATAAAATTCAGATGAAGAATAATTTATTTATTGAAGTTAAAAAATTATAAAATTTTTAAAAATATTTGTATTAAGAATCTTGAAATTTGTTTCTTGCTACTTAGAATAGCGAGAGAAAAGAGCAGAGATCTCGGTTGCACACGTGTTTCCACCTTCCTCGGCGTTCCCTATTAAAACGATGTCGCCCAGACCCACCCGCGTCGCGATTTTCCCTCTTTCTCGTTCTCGTAGTCGGTGTTGGCGTCGCCACGAGAGGGTGTACGAAAATAAGTCGCGGCGCGCCCCGGCAATTACGCGAGAACGGCATGGTCGACTTTTTAATTTGTACCCGGCCACTCTGAAGCGGACGCAGACGCGTGCTAGGCGACTCGCGAATCTCGTGTTTCCGCGAATTCTCGCGCGCAAATTTATGCGGTCTCACGATGGAAACGGTTGCTCAAAGAGCGCCAAACGCGACTACTTCCTTCCAGAGGCGTCGTAAATCCCTTCTGGGCTGGAAAGCATACGTTTTCCCGCCGCTCGACCCGAGTTTTCTCGACCGAACTCGAGGATCTCGTTTCGCTCAGCCACCACTTAACGATCCGTCAGCCATTAGTCGCCGGAGAACCGGCGAGAATAATACGCTAATTCTAGCGTGCACGTTTCAAGGTATTTCTTCCTCTGTTGCCTTGTTCAACGAATGCTTTTCAATTAGTAAATGCTGCATTTTCTAGAGATTTTTAAGTTATATGGGCGGAATGTAACAAGTCCTTTAATTGCCATGATGGTTACTAGTTATCGGTTCCTTCAATTTTGTTTATTAATTGAAACATGAGAATAATTATACACAAGAATAATTATAATTGAAAATAGAATAATTATGCACAAGAATAATTATACACCAAAATAATTATTATAGAAAATAAAATAATTGTACACAAGATGTATTCAAAGAGAACTTGACAAGTTTTATCACGAACAGGTTAATACCAAAGTTCAAGTTATTACGGTATAAAGGGTTAATATGTCACCGTTCAATGCCACGCTGAAAGTAGAATTTTAAGTAAACTTTCAAGCTGAAACTATGCAACTTATACCAAGCCCAGTTTTCCCATTCAGAGTTAAATTTACCTTGTTCGTGTTCCGTGTGCCCTTCTCTATTCACCGTAGTTAATGAGACACATCGAGAAAAGTAAAAGTTTCGCGAACTTCGAACAGGGTAGTTTCACCCCAATAAAACGAGCCTACAACCACCGGATATTATCAGAAGTAAAATTCTATCCTACGCTAAAATTTCTGACTTTTGATACTGCGGTTAGGAATAATTTTTAAAATTCACAGTTTTTTAACTAAACGTCCAACGTTCCGCGGGATTTATCGACGCCAACGAGGGCGTTATATTTTTCACCGGTGAAACTACTCGCGCTGGAGGGTGGCGGAAAACTAGTTTGGATACAAATTTTTCACCGAGCCTCGAGAGTTTCTCGACGAGCCCTGTTTAACGATCCAGAAACGTGGTTGGGCGCCGGGGGATGCAACTGTACGCTCGTTTATATGCCTGTACGCGAGTTCTGCTACTTTTTCTCTCTCCCTTTGCCGCCATTACGGAAGCGTGTCTTTTCAAGAAAATCCCAGAAATTCTGTAAAACGAGCTGCAAACGTTCCCGAGAATCAGTTTCGTTTTAATTACGTTGGAATTTGCGGAAGCCGACTTGTGAAGCATATTTATGTTAAAATTCGTTTCGATCGGACTTCGAATATGGAAAATGAAGGTTTTAAAAATCAGATTTTTAGTTATTTATTTATATACGAAAGAGTACAAAAGCCAGTATGGTCAGAGTATATGCAACAGATTTTTAAGTACAGTAGAGAAGGCAGATTTTTCATCAGAAAAGAAGGCAGCATAAAAAGAATCTATCATCGTTGAAGAAAATCAACGTCTGCTGGTTCGCATCGTAAATTACACCACGCCCTATGGATGAACGTCGAATATGTTAGAAAGAAGAAGCGAAGTGAAGAAGGATGAGTTATTCAAAGGGAGGGAAAAGGCGCATACCATGGAAATCGAGCGTCCAGTGTACGTACAAGGCCACTTTATGTAGGAGCCCGCGGTAAAAGTCGCCGGTCGAAGGTGCCGTTTCAGAGTATGAAAGATGGCTGTGTGCGTATCGTAGGAAGCTAGAACAAACGGGCCACTAAATCCACGTGATTTCTTCGTTCCCATGCCGTACCGCGTTCTTGATTTACAGGAGACGTTACGTCGGCGCCAATGCTGGAAATAGCGCGAACCGTGGGCCATTTCGCCTAGCAACTATAAACTCACCCCCCTAGACGGACCCGATCGCACCGTAGATATATACTAGATCCACCAGGATCGAAATTTATACGGGCCAGCTTGGATCGCCAAGAATTCCCAGAGCCGCGATATTTTCCCCCGAAATTGTGGCTTCTAAATTGAAAACTTTCCTCTCCAATTGAACAATTCCCTCGTAATGATTCTGGATCCCCCGGCGCTCGTTGGTAACACGAAAATCGGACAAGATCGATTAGCGAAGGAATCCAATAGGTACCTTAAGTAGAAGACTTTCTTAATCCTATAGAGAGTAAGAAGGGTTGAGAGTTCACCAGTTAGAAAATAATTGATTTTTGTTATTCAGAAAATTTCTAAAAAATTATTCATTGTTACTTCGATCAAAGATTGCACAGCCATATTAGAGGTCTCGCAGAGCCTGCCCTTTAGTCTTTCACGTGCCGGCTCGAGTCTCTCTCTAAGGTTGATAGATCCCGTGGCTGTGACTAATGATTAATCACGCGGTTACGGTGAATTCAAACAGTCCACGAACGACTGTTACCTACGTTTCCTTTGCACGCTCCGTTGCACGAACTCCAGTAACTCCAGCCTGGATGCACCCTGTGACCTTAATTACTGTGTCGACCAATCGATCCGTCCGCATTGTGATCGTGCTATCCCCGACACCGGTACCGACGTAACCGCTTCATGCTGAATGGTATCTTAATTGCCGGTCGGATAATCGGATTCAGCCACTTAATCGATTATGCGGCTCTATGAAGCTGTCGCAGCCGTGTTCACCCGAATCACGATGGAATTCCCCATTCACCGTTTAAGTAGAATGCCTGAAACACAGAAGGAGCTGGCATTCTGGGGACCGATTAACCGCTGACGATCTCCGACAGCTTCGTTAAAATTCAGCCTCCCTACCGGGGATATCAAAAGGAATCGACGCGCAACATCGCTTCTGGAATTCGTGTCGTACCTTCAGCCTGATCCACGCGACGTTATTCGCGATGGCTGGTCAGATATACGAGGCGGAGATTCGAGAAGAAACGCGTCATCGGGTCGAGATTCTTTCTCTTTTTTTCATGGAACCGTTGAATAACGAGCTACGCAGGAACCAAGGCTCCCTAAACTTGCGAGATAAGCATCGCGAAGTAGTCGGTAGTGGAAGAAACTGCCGTTAATTAGCCAAAAAGTGAAGGGTTCGCCTATGCCGTCTCTCTTTATTCTTTCTATCTTTCCACGGCCAGGATCTGCCTCTTTTTTTTTTCTTCCTCCCGTACGCGCCACGACGGCACCGACGTGAATAAAGTACAGTCCTCCTCGGCCCTGTTCCCGCGTGGCTCACCCTCCTAGCCCCATCGCCATCCGGTACACACGAGTTCGCCCCCTCGTTGAACCGAAGAACAACCAGCCAAAGGGCCCCACGGCGTTCGCCGTTCTCTTTTGCTCCGGTTATCGTTCCCTCTGTACGTCTTCTTCCCGTCCCTTTCTATCGTTCGAACTCCCGATCCTAATCTCGATAATGACGCGTAATGGCTGCTGGCGTGAATGTAGCTCTTTGTCCGTGGCTGCTGTACCGGTCGTATATCTGTCCGGTAGGAGAACCGCGCCATTTCACCCCGGCGAAAAGCACGGGGAGGCCGAGACCGCCGTTTCCAGCCTGTTTTTCTGCGCTTCGCCGTAGCCCTTGGCTCCACGTTCCATGTACCCCAGACTCGGACCTCTTTCTCAGGAACTTACGTTTAATCGTTTTCTTCCAGCTACAACAACGACCTGACGCGATTTCATGATCCCTTTGTCTTCTTCTTTATTTCTTCTTCTTTTTTTTTTTCGTTATGGGACGGGTTTTTCATTTGCCTGTTGGTGTTCTTGCAGATACGGTTATGAGAGTTCGATGACCATTGGATAGCGAGACCATCCATCGACGCCACCATGGACTACCTGCAGACGTGCCTCATCTTCTACCTATTGATCCTCTGTCTCTCCGGAGGACGATCTATAGACATATGTGAGTACACTTTGAAGGATCTCCCTTCGATATTAATATTCGTCAAGATGTTGAAGCAGTCAGAAGTTGTACTACTCGTTCACGGTTCTTAATTAAGTTTAATCGACGAACAGACACCGGTTCGGTAAAAATTAACGGGGCACAGTTAATTGTCTTTGTCAGAATTGATATGTTTATTATAACGAGGTTCACTGATGATCATCGCTATAAATATGATAGGTTTTAATATTTCAAAGAAAGAAATATTAAGGAAAATTTCAAGGCAAGTATAAAATTCAGAGGTTGAAAGTTCGCGCGGAAGTCTGGATGACAGAAAATCGATGCTCGCTTCCCGTTTCTCGTTCAGAGGTGGTGAAGTACGCGTGTTTACATCCGAGACCATAATTCTCTAGCCCTGTACGTTCGGTATGTCCGATAAAAACACAGAACCTCGGTGAAATCGCGTTGGCCCGGTTGTAGCAGCGTTTACGCACCGTCTCGGTTTCTCCGCTCCGCTTGCTTTCCATCCCATTGACTTTTTCGGCTAGCAAAGTCACCCCTCGTTGAGTCAGGTAAACAGGCCGAGAAACTTGCAAAGTATCCGGCAAGAGTTCTAGCGTGAGAGGCTTTTAGGTAGTCGTTCGTGAAATCGAGCTCGAGACTCGACGCGTCTGCGAAACGTATTTCGCACCCTCGCGAGCCGAGGCCAGCGCAAAGATGGATGGGGTCGTCGGTGTTTCGGTCTGGTTACACGTTTCGGCCCTCTCTACGTAGCCGCGATACATATAACAGTTTTAGAAAGAAATAAATCTACGCCCGAATGTTTAATGGAGTGGGCGGACCGCGTGGAAGCGTTTTTGTTCCGATCCCGAGGGAAAGGAAGGTGCGAGCCGTTCTTGCGAGCCGAAGCTAGAGATTGAAATTTATCGCAACGTTCCGGCTAACGATGGGAATATGAAGGGTATGGAAGGTTAATACCGTAAGAAGGTAATTAAAAATATAGTAACTAAAAATTTTACCTTTGATTGTATTCGAGAATCGCAAGGAAATTTTCATTTCTACATAGTAAATGTTTCTCTATGAATCCGTGGAGACAACACGAACTTTCCACTGTCCGCGTATTTTCTCATTATAACTTCCGATAACCCTCATCTCCGACAACCGAATATAATATCGTGACCTGTGTAGCAAATACGAACATCGTTCTGATTAGGTCGAATTCGGAAAGGGTTCGAAGGCATTGAATTCCATCACGCGGTAGAAGCCTGAAATCTCGACCACAGTATCCCATCCCTGTTTCTGTTCGTCAGCCCGAAATCCGTGTACCCATAAACCCAAGCCGACGAGGATCGTTGGTTGCATACGAAACGCGTTCATCGGGCATGTTCGCATGGCGCCGCTAAAAGCGTGGTTCACTTTTCAAGCGACAAGCACTACGGTCGATCGGTTGGAAATTTAATAAGCGGCCGGATCGTAAGTCAACCACCGGGAACAATAAGTAACGATCGACGAAAGTATAAATATAACCGACGAAAGCTGGCAGACGAGGAGGAAGCGGTGGCAGACGACGAGGGAGATATAGGCCCTCCTGCGGTGAGTGAACTTGTACGTGGAACCGCGTTGGTAAATTCGCGGTCGTGTTAAGCGGGCCAGCCGTTCGCGGAGAGGACGAGGGCCGGCTGCAAGGGTTGCGGGCCAGTTAAAGCGCGCATAAATTGCAATGTTAATGTTGCCTGCGATACATAAACATGTTGTACGTCGGTTCGATTGCGGTCTGCTCGCTCTCTGCGCAGACCTAGTGTTGCACGCGTAGCATCGGCTTGCACACGGACGCGTGCACGCACTCGTCGCGTCGCGTACAGGGAAGGACGGTCTGCTTTGCTTTCGCGTATTTGATTCGACGATTGCGGACCACGCGTGTGCATGGTCCTGCGAGCATGGTGGTGGACTCGCCACGCGACCTCGCGTGTGCGTGACCGACGAAAAGGAGCAAAGAGTGATACGCGCGGTCTGAACGTTGATCAAGGTTCGGCTTCTGGGTACGAGAAGATTGCAATTATTTTTATTTCTTCTTGCGGCGGCGCGCTTTTTTATAATGCGAAACAGGTAGAAGTACGATTCAATGATAGGTTGTTTTAAACAAACTTATTTCAACAGAGAGCATACGTGCTTCTTATACAACCCTCTTACCGTTTCAATAAAAAGCTTAATGAAAGATGCTAAGAAGGAAGTTTAAAAAAGATGCAATTTCAACTCATAAATAAGTGTGCCATTAAGCAACATCAGCTTCTTTTCTATCACTTTTTCTCTTCCTCAAGAGAGGAACTTAGTTCGTTCCTGTAACATGAATCACGCCCCACGTTCGTGGGAACGAGGGAAGAAAAAACTCACTCTTCCCTCACGGTCCCTCGATCCGGCATGGCCATCGGTAAACTATTTACTCGGATTAATTATCAAAATTAAATTTGCCCGCGATTAAATCGATTCCAATTCCTTGCGTCGGGCAAACATTGACACGCGAACCGAATCGACCGCTGTTAACAATAATATCCTGTTAACAATGTGTACGCGCATATTGTCGACGACAGTGGAAGCAGTCGGAGCGTGTCCAGGCTGGTAGAATCGTTACGCAGGAGCCCTCTTGCGTTATGGCATTGTCATCGGTCCGCTGCCCTCCCTCAAACCTCCGCAACCCTTACTCCCTTCCAATTATCCGCAAATCCATTAGGTCCTCGCATGCCACTGATGAAATTGTCGACGTATTAACATAACCGAGCGACAATTAAAGCGTTATAGCACGCCACGAGGTCTGCCCGGCTGCATACCTTGCCGATTTCTCCGGCTGGCTCGCTGGAATTCCACGCGGGGGACAGCATCTTAGGAATCCCGGGAATTTGGAGCAATTTTTAAATTGCAATGAGTCAACGGCGTTGAACGCGTCACACGTGAACCTTGAAATGTTCTGAATTTATGGCTACTTCAACGCGTTCCAACGCGTGTCTGTATACAACGAAAGGGTGTTTTTAAGTGTCCAGGACTCTGATATTTTTTTTATGCTCTCTATCCTGTGATAAAGGAAACGGAGTGGTAGAAGATTCCTAGGTTTTATGGTTCTCCCGGCGCTAGGTTAGTACGATTTCAGAGTCATCGACACGAAAATGAGATTAAACAAAGAAGGTTAATACTCCCGAGCAGCGAAATCGATCTCAAGCCAGCAACAGTTCAAACGACCCCAGTATTCGCGGATCTCTCCTCGAGACAGCTCCGACACGTTCGTCACAACACACGGGCACGGCGATCGTTGCAATTTGTCACGGCTTTGTACGGAGCAGCGGTGTCATTAACACTCCGGTACAACTCTACTTTCGCAGAGTTTGTTTAAACGTCGAATCGTTGACACGACAAAGGGGCCGCGTGGTGCACGTGTGCGTCGTATGTCTTTCGTATATAAAATCCCTCGTCGCGTAAACATTCCCAAGCGAGTGTCCCGACATCTGTTTCTTACCCCGTTCGCAGCCGATCTCGTTTGCGAGCTTGATCACGTGCCAGAAGCGAGCGAGTTTATACGAAACTGCGAATCCACCAAAACTCATTTAACCCTTTCGTTAAAATTTGAAAAAATAATATACGAGCATGCGAGATTGAGAAATTTTTCCTTTTGCGTTGACATTGATTTAACGTCATGGTTGATAATCCTTCTTTTTTGTCATTGGCTTGTATATATATATTGATCATAACAAAAGGGTTAATAATTCAAAGGAAATCGTATTTCGAGTGATTAGCAATCGACTTAAGGGATGGCTCGACGAGGTTTCGGTGTATCGAGAGACGAGGATGAATCGAGTAGATTCCAAGAGAGACGCGCCGTGGTTGACGCGGTGAAAGGACGTCAACTGTCAGACGTCGACGTCGACGTCGACGTCGAGTGTAATAATCCTCGACTTTCGGCCTCGAAGGGCGGCCGTCAATCCACCGCGCGGTTCTGTATTTTCATAAGTCTAGGCCGCGAGAGCAAACACTATATCCCGAGAGGAGTCGAGTGCCAGTTTCGAAGGGTTGAAACCCTTCTTGAGATTCTATCTCTCGATCGTGATTGTAAAGGTACGCGACGCTTGAGAGAATCCTTTCTTCGATGGCATCGCTGCGTTTCCATTTGAATATGGAGGTAATTTTCATAAGTTTGTTTTATACTGAATACAGAATCATTTTATTTTGTTATTTGAATATTAAAAATATTTTAAATATATTAAATGTATTATAAATATTTTCGCAGTAGTACAAATAGATAATTAACTATGAAATGACCTGATATAACGAAAACTAGATTCAAGAGGAGTGTATGAAAATGTATTCAAAGTCTTGTACAGTCAATGCATATACAAGTAAGTTGACGAAACTGTCCGAAACTGTATCAGAAATAAAGTTCGACATCAAAGTCATAGAGCGTGGCACGATTAACGAGCTTCCAGAGATCGCTGTCGTATTCCAAGCAGTCGGGGTCAGAAACACGAGTCTCGGCCCGAGGCAACGGTGGCTTGCCTTTTGATAAATCCAGGCCACGAAGGCGAGCGTAACACAGGCTAGCCACGAGGCACGTACGGTATTATAAAAGGGGTTGCAGTTTCGAGCCGGAGCAGCGGTAAGCAGTGCACGCAACTCGAGACGGTGATTTCAAGACAAGCGGGGATGGGTCGCGGCCAAGGGGTGGTTTAACGTAGGGGTCGGTTATAAGGCGGAGAAAGGGTGCAAAAAGGCCGCGGGGCGAAGAGGGCGAAGAGTCAGGCCAAGGGAATGAAAGGGTCGTGTAAAAGTAGTACTTCCGTTTCTCCAGCCGTCCCGGCGCCAGAACGACGGGCATGCGCTATGCCGAACGAGACCACCGTTATCTTCCGCCTACAACGACTGTTTGTTTTCCCTGAAAGAGACGAAAATGGCTCGGTGGTTCCAACAATACCACGGAAAAACCATGTTTCGCTGTCTCGTGGCTGCTTTCGAAAGGGTGCACGAACGTCTTCATCGGGGTCGCTCGGCTCTTACAAACATTTATTCTAATTTCGTGAGTGAAAAGGGTTTCGGTATTAGCAGGAAAAACAACCGCGTCAGGTGTCCACCTGCTAATTCCGTTGAGTAAATAAAACGCACCGGGCGTTGTCATAATACGGCAATTAAGCAGAGACGCTGCACTGTCCGTTCCTCTTTCCATCTTGTTTCACATTCTCCATGCTATTTCGTCTCTGCTTTTAATTTTACTTCGTTATTTTGTAACCTGGCCGCGTTACGCGCGACACGGTCGGGGTCAGAGGTGTCGAGTGCTCAGGTCGCTTTCCTCGCTGCGAATTATTGGATATCACGCCACACCTTTATCCTTTTCCACTCATATTCAAACGTTAATTTAGTTGAGTTATAAACAAAGCTTGGAAATTTTTAAGAATTTCATTTAACTGGGGAGATTGAAAAATTTGGAAAGAAAAATCGAAGCAGTTTTATTACAGGATACAAAGGATAATATTTAGATAAAGAATATCGTGAATGATACGCTTGGGAAGAAGGCGAATGTTTCTTCATTCCAAGATCCATTAAAGGTTATTTGATGGCGGATTTGGTTAGAGATTTCGGGATTTCGATTAGCCGAGGGGCCAGGCTGGCTGTCCCTACGAAAAACAGTAATCCGTAAGTGAGTCATGATTTATGCCGTAATATCGTGCCGTAATAAGGTGGGGCGCTTAATATGTTTTTCGCGAAAGACCTGGCGGGTAATTAATTTACATTCACGCCCGTGCCGTAGGAGGGAAACGAGTCAGAATAGAGAGAGAAAGAGAAGAGATCAACAACGGCCAGGCCAGACCTCGACCCTCGTACATCGTCATTAATAATAATTGTAGAGTTAACAAAGGCGGGTCGAGGTGGAATTATTAAATTCGTCGAGATAGAGAATCTCGTTGTTGGTCCTGCCTTTCTATTTCTTTCGCCAATCAACGAAAACCTACCCCCGGCTTAATTCGCTTAATACCATCAAGCAAAAATAACAACTCCGTAACGAGTCAGCATTAGCTTCCTTCCTGAGAAATAACGGTTGAAAACAGTTACGATATCAATTTTAATTCTTGAAGAATTTTTATTCCCGTCTAGCAAAATATATGATCTTTATAAATCCTTATTAAAATTTGGAGTGTCGATGATTAGTACAGTGTCAAAATTTATCTTCGAACATTTATTTTCTGAATCATTTCAACCCCCTGATGACAGCTCCAGAACAAATTTCTCGCTCTCGTTCCCCCATTTTCGTATGAATTATTTAAATCGTCGAAATCAAGTGGTAGCACGGTTATGATAATTTTTTTTTTTATACTCGACGAGCGTTCCTCGACTTCCGGCAACAGACGCTTCATACAGAAGACATCCCCGACAGAAAGAAGCGGTTATCAAGTTGACAGTGACGCGGTTAAGCGAGGATGCACGAGGACCAGATGGCGGAGAAAGGAGAGAAGAAGAAGTCGCGAGGAGGGGTTGCGAAGGCATTCAATTTCCCTCTTCTCGCGGATGGAGGGCGGCACACACCCTTCCGTTCGGAGCTGTCACTCTGCGAGAGTTATGGTCGCCGAATGAGTGGCTGGGGCGGGCCAAACGTCGCATAACTTACTTCTTCTTCTTCTTCTTCTTCTCCCGTTTCTCTGCTCTTTTCCAGGATGTCTATAAATACGGGGATCGAACCTGCCTGCCTCGTCACCGGCCGACACGGGTCCCTTCGTTGTTCCTGCGGGATCCTTCCGTCGATCGGATGAAAATGGGAACTAGTAGTGGTGTGTAAATGATCGTAATCGTTCGGAAAGCTCGATCGAATGGTACCACTTACGTTTCAACGAGGGGTTTAGGGAGAATTTTTGCTGTCCAGTGTGTTTGTTTTAAGGAGTTAGGCCATTCTAGAATTTTGAAAAAATCGAAATTTGTTTTTTACTTAAAAGGTGCCTTAATGTCTTAAAAATGATATGGTAAAAGATTATGGGTGGGAAAAATCTCCAAGTACTCGAATTTCGAATTCTGACGCAGCCCCTCCCGGTCTGCTGCGAGCATAACTGAAAACTTTAAACGCATTTTTCGAACTGGCCGGACTCATAAATCAAACAGATTATCACCAATCGATTTGAAAATTTAACAGTATATTCAAAACTAAATTCTCTACAGAACTACTGGCGATTTTTTCTTGAAATTTTACATTTTCTCTTAAAAAATACGCCATTTTTGCAAAAATCAATATATCAAAAAAATCCTACGTAGTTCGGTAGCTGTTATCATTTTTAAAATTTATTAGTTGTAAAGTGAAGGCATGCTTACAGAATTTGGAGTTATTGCAAAATATGCCTATTTTTTCTTGCTCTAGAGTGGCCTAACCCCTTAAGTCCTGGACATTTGGTTTCATTTATTAGAGGAACTTTTATTATTTGATTCAAGAAAAGTTTCATATTTTTCAGTCGAAATCACTTTCGTGTTTAAGAGTAGTTCTTCTTGTCTCGTGGAAAAGAAGCAGAGTGTGTTATGGTTTTCGGTTGAGTCACGAAACACAAGTGGCCCGTCCAATCTCATACTTTATTTTTACTAACTACACTTGAATTACGAAGGCTGCCGTGTTTGTTCGAATGCGTCTTGTAATCTCGAGCCTGTGTTTTCCTTTCTCCTGTCACTCCTTCACAACAGGGCTTTCCTCTAATCGCTCTCTTAAATACTTTCTTCGCTAGCACGTATTCCCCCTTCTGTTTTCCCTGTCACTCTCTAAACAATCAATCTTAAACTCTTCGTACGACATTCAACCTGTCGCTTGCTCCATTTGCGTAATGGCTACTCTATCCATTATCCATTTCGAATGGTTCAGATTTCGAAAACAATTATTCATTTAGTCCATCACTGTCAATATTTCAATTCTTCATAGTAGAATATTGCGGGTATTCTTCCTTTCGAACCGTGAATTCATCGAATTTATCGGTTCGAACAGCTCGCTCGTAAAACAAGAGCAATTACGGTGAAAGGATTTCGTTGTAAAATCAGGGTGTTAGCAGTCCGCCGACGAGTTTTCGCATGGAAGAAGGGAAAAAAGCGGCGTCGAAGAAATTTCATACGGCAAAAACGGTGTTGTACTCGCGTCGGTTCAACTCCCGGGAACAAGTGGCTCCGTATAGAGAAGTTAATTACCAGAAATAAGCGGCCGTCGAGCCGTGAAACTTGTACGAGGCCGCGACCCGCGCCCCGCGACCGTACGTGTATCTCGTTAAAAATTTATTTACGAGCAAAGTTCACCGCACGGATTAGGGCTTTAATCTCGCGAAAAAAACACGGGCAGTAAAAATGCGAGGCTCGCTGGTACGCGCCTCTATCGTCTCGATCAGATTGTCGAACATCATTTTTAACTACGCCAATTTGCTTGCGAACACAATCGAAAATACGATAATTGCGATTCGGTAACGATACCGAGAAACACTTTTCAATCGCGTATCCGAGGCGCGAGAAACGTTTTCAACGGTCCGAAATTACACGCCTGAAGTCGTTTCGCTACCACGCCGGAACACGCAACGTCTGCACCGGCATGGAATAAAAACGACCGTCCCCATACCTCGAGGAAATATCATCAAAGAGAGTATCTGTTTATTCGAACGCGTGGAATCGTGGACTTCTTGGGAATTGCGAGGGATAATATACGATCGCTTAACGAGAAACCGTGAGCCGAACAAGCTTGTCCACGGTGCCGTGGCGAAAGCTCGATAAAACCCACAGAGAATTTGCCTGCTCACCGAAAATGTCTACCAACGACAGCTGCTTCCTGAAGCTGCTCCAAAAGCGTCGGCGATTATCGGGCTCGTTTGCTGCTTCGACGGACTTTAAGTCCACAAACTACCTCTGCACCCGTAAACACGCTCCGAAACGTCGCCGTACGAACGATTTAATTGTTCCAGGGTTAATTATAACGTTGATTACTGGAATTCGGTGTTATGTGATCGTAAGATGAAAACGGACGTCAGAAACTACTTATAACGTTAACACCTCGACTTATTAATGTCACGCGTTTAATGAATTTCTATTTCTTATGTATCGAATGGTATAATAATTGATGCGACGGTAATGGTACTGATTAAGATTAAAATTGTTACGAATAATTAGACCTTTCGAAGAGCGATCGCTCTGCTGCCGGCGAAAAGTAGACGAGTACAAACGCGTGTATAATGAAAGCAATTTCCTTTGTTTGCAGCACAATGCATCGCACCCCTGGGGATGGAATCTGGTGTGATTCCCGATGCAGACATCACAGCGAGCTCGAGTTTCGATAGCGGAAATGTCGGGCCACATCACGGACGGTGAGTGAATTACCGTGTATTACCGTCTCGTTTATAGAACGCATTATGCAGATGCGATGCAATACACATTCGGAAATATGATAAAATTAACCCCTTTGTTGCACCGCCCGGGGAACAGCGATGCAATTTCCCGAAATCAGTGCGCTTCGTTAAGCGACCTATTCGTTGGCTAAATTGAACCGATTTCCTAGGGGGAAAGACTCTTGTTATGCTTTACGAAAGAACTTTTCAATTATTTTATACAATTGTTCGCTGACGGATCAAATTTTCAAACTCGCCAGAAGATTATATTAAAATTTATTTTCCCAATTTCCTTCGAATAAAACAATTTCTAATCTTTTTATAATTATTCCGGAAGAAAAATCGCCTCTAAAAGTTCGCGTGAATTCGTCAACCGGATAAATAATGTCAGGTTCTTTTCTGGACAAGAGAGATTTGTCAGACAGACGATGGTCGGTTTAAAACGCGATGCAGATTGATGCCAGGCCGATTGTACGGTAAAGTTCGACGACAGAAAAAAAAAAAAAAAAAAAAGAGGAGTCGTCGGTGTGCAGCACGATAACATTTCTGACTACGAACGCTTTCTACGGCTCGAACGGACGATCCTCTTCCTGTCCGTCATTCTGTCTGCGGTCGAGATAGCTCACGATCAGGACTCGTCCCAGGTCACCGTATTAATCACCGACTACTAAACTGCACGTCTAATTCGGCCTTCAAGCCGCAATGAGGATTAATGACGTGAGATATTATCCCGCATACGGAGCCATTTGTATCGAACATTTCAAACCTCTTAGACATCGTTAACGCGTATTGCTTTGATTATAGTACGTGCCAGCTAATTAACTATTCCAAAAGAGAGAGAAACGATGAACTGATAAATATAGAAAGGGTTACTTTCAAAACATTGAGGACCGAAACAAGGACCACCCGTGGCGTTAATGAATCGTCGCTCGCGAATCGTTTAACGCGAAAAAATATCTCTTGTCAACGATGTCTATTGGTTACAATTTATAGACACTAATTAAGTATTAAGATTGTAGAATCATCCGAGGATAGAATGGAAATTTTTGAAGAATTTTACGATCATAAAATTGTTAAAGACGATGTTCAAGATAGAACGAGCGAATGAATATTCATTGAAACCGGCATGCAAATTTGCTATTCTTTCGTTGATACACCCGTCTCTTGTATCTCGTATGTTAAAAATCATTTTATTAACACGGATGACATTTACGAACTCCATTGATAGCGATGGGTGGTCCTGGAGGCTTTGAACGTAATCCGTGTATCCAAGCGTGGGTCTTAGGAAGGCGCGAACATGTTTATGGTCTATGGAATTCCATCGAAAAGCTGCATCAATGTCGCCGCGATAATTGGTAGTTGAACGTGTAAGAAGCTACGTCGAGGCTTGTCCTTTTGGCCGCGATATAAAGCAAGGAAAGCCTTTTCGATGCAATACCGATATCGTCGCCTGCTCACACACTACCCTTACCCGTCTAGACCTTCTTCAACGGCATTTCCACGGCTTCCTGATACTACGGGCTTCCCGGTGAATACCCTATTTACCCCATGCGACTCCAGTTTACCCTAAAATACGCGAATCTAACTCGCATTACGTGTACTTCTTATGTTCCGTTCGTTTTCCATCGAAACACAAACATCTCATGATATTTTATTAGACACCATTTGTCCTTATTCTATCGCTAAACTTCTCTATCCATGTTCAATCAATCGTATTTGAATATGTTACCCAAAGACTGTACTCTTGGGATCGATTTGATTTGCATATTCATCGAGTCGATTTACCCTTTGAACTTTGCCGTGTTTTGTCTGCTACCTAGAAACAATTACCGATGTTACCATTGAATTTGCAATCCGTTTCGCGAATAAACACTTCGCCGCTTCAAAGTGTGAATTTATGTATCGAGAACAATAATGAAATTCAAAGAAAAGGATTCCATTCGTTTCATTTTCTCCATTTATTTTTTTTAAATTTCTTTTTTAATTATTTATATATTCTCAGCTTTTTAAGTGGTACATTTCAAATCGTTATAAGAATAAATTCTGCATCCAGGCTGAAGCAAAAAGTCCGCGTTCAACTTCATCGTCGACGTTCTGTCTGCAAACTCTCTCGTTCACGGAAGAGAACATTTTCATCAAACGAACTGAAGAGTGCAGAACGGGTCACAAAGAGCCGTTTCCTCGTTTGCCGTAGGCAACAAATCATCTCCGCCCGGACGGATCGAGCTGAGCTGAGTCGCGTTCGACAAACCATTCCTCCCGATAATCGACCGGTTCGTCTCGCGGGGCTCGCGCTTTCGGCGATTTCGCCGACGTGGCAGCTCAAGTCCCGCGGTGTGATCGTACGCTCGGAGATTTATCGTGCTCCCGGAATGTCTTTGATGCCCTGGACTGTATCAAAGTGGCAGCCAAGTGAGCCAGTTCCAGCTCTCTTAATGGGCTATGAGTTATGGTCTTTCGCTGTACCTCCTTCTCTGTCGCGTTTACCCAACGTATTCCTGTTCACCTTACTTACCGAACCCCATTCAGTCTTTCTTCTTACTTTGTCCCGTTTCGTTCTTTTCATTCTTCGTTCGAAAGCCACTCTTACCGTCGGTCGAGTCAAAGCAACGCTTCAAATCATGACACTTTTACAGGGGTATTTCTTCATTGCAAAAGTTACACTTTTGCTTTCGTTCGTGCAGTGTCTCCCTTTAAATGGACACATCCAAGAGAAGTTCATTTTAAAATCAAGCGTTCTAGATGATAAGTTGTTCCATAAGTTTCGAAGGAGAGTGTATAAGTTGAATTTGAACGAAATTCGTTCGACTCAACCTCTTTGCCTTTCTTACGTTTTCCCTTCACGCTCGCTCGCCAAAAGCTTTCGTTTCTTTGCGCCCCCTTCGGGGCTCGGCTGTTCGAGAAGTAATCTCGAGCAAAGAACCGCAGAAAGTCGCGTTGATACCTTTCTGTTTTATTTTTTTTAATAGTTGAAATTGAGTTTCGAAGTGGCTGCGTTAAGAGGGATTTCTGAAGGAACCGGGGAAACTTTAATTTTCGCCAGGAATAGTGAGGTGTATAAATGACGTACGAGAATAGAGTGGAACTCCGGGCTTTGCTTTATGTTGGAAAAGAAGACTGAAAACATAATGTATATGTTCGTTTATATAAAGTTGCCTGGATAAACTGAATTGATAATAGTTTAATTTGGACAATTTTTTATTTTGCAAATTAATTTCGATGGATTCTATGTGTTTTATTGTTATATGAATTATCAAAGAAAACACATTGACATTTTTATGCAATTATATTTTATATTAGCTAAAATTATTCCATACAAATTTCGCTACATTTTTTTGAATTCCAACTTCTTTGGTCTATTAATTTTCAATTCTAAAAATCGTTTTCAAATTGGTATACTTTCTCGAGTAAAACGTTAATGGTAGTAAACGCGAGGAGTAAGATGTCGAAGCGATTGAATTGAAGATGATCGTCGGTTTCCTTCGGTGTTCGTGGAATCCGTGCCAGCATTCCTTCTGCAAGACGCTTTTTTCCGCGGCAATCACGGCCGAGGGGAGAGCTTTTTAATGCGGTAGACGAGCCCGCGAAAGGTATGTGCGAATACAATTATTAGCCGGCTCGAAGTGGCTTCCCTGTTCGTCGTTCTCGTGGCGGCGCCAGCTCATCTTTAATTCATGCCATCCGGTGGCTCGACTCGATCGATAAATTATAATTTCACCCCGTATCGGCCCGACCGAGGTGACGGTTATCCGTCAGCCACCAGCAGGATCACGTATTTGTACGATTTCCTTTCTGCGACGACGTAACATTTCCGATTATACCGTCATCCTCTTTGCTTTCCTCTTATCGGCTGATTCTTATCGGCACGTCAATTGCAGGGTCTGCATACAATCGTCAAGCGTAGGATAAACCATCTGCTCAATGCATTTTCTTGACACACGATTCAAGGCTCTTTCCTGTCATTTCGTGCGAAAAATAAAACGAAGAATCGAAATAACTCCACTGTTTATTATACTAAAGTCTCGAATATTTCAACAAAAATTATTAAAATCTGATAATACTGTAACTTAAAGATCTGGTATGCTAAAATTTTCTTAGAAAGAAAACTTAGAATCTCTTTTACCATAAAAAAGAAGAATCGTTAAGATATAATAAGCGAGGGTTAACGTAGCAATCACCCTTCCCTGTTCGTTGTTCCCTAGAAATGATTCGGGCTTCTCGTTTTCCCGGACGACGCGTTAAAAAAAGCTTTCTCAGCTTCCTCGAGGGGGGAAGAAGATAGAAACAGCAGAGGAAAGAAAAGAAAAAACTAAGGGTCGGTAATCTCAGAGTAAATATTTACCCTTGTTGCAGGCTGAGGCAAGAGAGCCACGGAGGTGCCTGGTGCCCGAAGCAGCAGATCACGACGGAACCACGCGAGTGGCTGGAAATCGATCTTCACACGGTCCACATGATCACCGCCACCGGCACTCAAGGTCGCTTTGGCAACGGCCAAGGTGTTGAATACTCCGAAGCTTACATGCTGGAGTATTGGAGACCGAAGCTCGGCAAGTGGGTTCGGTACAGGGATGTTCGAGGCGAAGAGGTAATTTCATATTATAACCCTTTCGATGTCCTTCGCTAAAAGCACTTGCTACCTCGAATTAATCTCCTTCGGTATAAATAATTCAAAACTTATCTTCTTTTTCATTTTTAATTGATCAATCGAAACATATGGTACTCTCCTGGCTGTCAACTTGTTAACGAGCAAAAGAAATAATAAAATACCTCTTAGGTGAATTGTGATAAACTATCGTTCGTTGCAGGAAGTCGAGAATTATGCGCTCGGTATCCTTTCTAGGTAACCTGCCCGATCGATCTTGCGAATTGACGTTAAGTTAGGCGAACTTTGCGGTGAAACGTTTATTGGCTGAAAGGAAAGAGAAGAGATGAAGTACAGGCAGGAAGTAATAGATCGTTCGAGGAGAAACTGTCCCGAGATGTATTTGCTGTTTCTGAAAACACGGGACCTTATTGAGAGCAAAATTGCGCTGAATTCGAGGAAAGTAGGGTCCGATGATGCGGCAGTGACAATGTTTTTCTTCTTCGAAAATTTTGTATTAATAATAACAAAATTCCTAGCTGGTAACTTCGAATTTATATAAAGCTTAACGGGTAGAAAATTGGAATGAGAAAGTATTAAAATTGAAAATTAATTGATCGTCAATGGGGGGAATTTCTAGAGTGTCTATGAGCGGCGGTAGCATTGAAAGGATTAAAAAAACGGCGAGAGATCAATGGACGTTCGATATCGGTATTTATCATTCGTACGGCAGTGTCGGTACCTAATCCAGACCGGAAGCACGGATGCGCATAATTCAATTCAATTAACCGGTCAGAACGATTCAGCAAAGAGAAGCGGCGCGGCGAGGCGGGCGCGTAAGCGGAATCGCGCGGTTAAATTTAGTCGCACGTGCGATACGCGTAAAACGAGCGAGCACACGGATTATCGAGAATGATTTGTAGCGGTGTCCACGGGTCCGCGGACAGAGCTAGGGCCTGCTAACTAAACCGTGACGTTAACAAGACGTAAATCTCGACCGCAATATGCTCGCCTCAAAAGTGGTGCACGCGGCTCTCTGCTCGATGCAATTTACTAGAATAGATCGGTAACCGTGAACCTACCGCTTTAATTAGCAACAATAGGGCCAACCCGTTCATTTATTTCCACGGGAAATATATGTCCTCCTACCCGTGTTACCCGCTCGAGAATGCCGCGAATTCGTTGGCAGAATAACAGAGAACCACCAAGCCCTGACGTCGATGAATGAACTGTCCCTTCTCCGCTTGCTACTCGCGCGAATACTCGTTCGCCAAGTGTCTCTTAGACGAGTAACCAGTTCGTAGCTCAATTAACAATTTTATTATACAATTTTTTCCACTCAGAATTAAAATAATTGTAGGCGTTTAGTGGAGGGTGGGAGGAGGGTTTCGTCTCCCGGGACGCCTTTAGTTTGGGCCGGGAACCGCTAGGTGGCGACGAGATGATCGGTGCTCTCGCAAGCGGTCGCCCGGCATGCAGTGCGAATATATAGAATATACTGTGGAAGGGATCCTCACTGACGAGTCTGACAGACGATCCCAAGAGGAAACGTCTTTTTCTCATCTCTCCTACATAATTTCATTTTATTTCATTCCTTCAGAGAATATTCACGACTACCATTTTGCAGCGAATCTGTTAAAAGCGCATCAGAATTGGTGACCCACGCTCCTAAGGTACACATTACTTTGCATATTGTTAGAAGTTTGAGCAAGTAAAACTTGCCCTCGTGTATCGTCCCTCTGGCCCTGGGTCAATACTTCTCTCTAGTGGTGATTCTCTCGAGTATCATTCGTCATCTCGCTTTCTATTACGAAGTTTAACTTGCTAAACTAAGGGACAACGGTTATATTCACCAGGTATCCTGACACGTGTATATCTTCAAAAGTTTCGTGTCAGGTGGCAGTTTGGTCGTTACAAACTTTATCGCGCTAAGAATGTCGAGAAATATATGTTCACGTTTATGAGATACTCTCAGTCCCCTTTGCCGAATCAATTTTTCTGTAACTTTACGATATTCGGTCGTGATTGAAATATTCAAATGACATTTAGATAAAGCAAACTTGATGAACTAAAGGATATTTGTATTCAGAAGGTGTTCCTAACACGTGTATGTCTTGGGAAAAGTTTCGTGTCGGATAGCAGTTTGGCCGTTTCGAACTTTATCGCGCCATGAATCTCAAGAAATATATTTACGACAATAATACGCTGTTGGGTTCAAGTCCCATTACTCAATTTGTCTTTGAACAAAATCAAATATCCTGAAACTTTAAGCAAACTGTTGTTTCGTCCCGAAGATTCTTAGCAGAAAGAGAGGAATATTGGAACAATTCACGGAAAATGTCTCACCGACGTTGTTTTCAGTTCACTTATCTTCGCGAGCGAACGGATAAATAGGAAAAGAGAACAACGGAAGTAGACTCTCAAAGAACTTCCGCTGTTTCGCGATATTTGTTGGAAAGGAACGACGCGGGAACCAATATAAGTCATTTCGTTCCGTGGACAATAACATTATTTTCGAGTAGCACGTTCTTTATTCTATTTTTTTTTTCTTTCTATCCCGTCTTGCTAAGGAACGAACGGTGATTCTCGAGAAGAGAAAACACGAGGAAAAAGATGGGGAAGAAGGAAAGAAGGAGGTGAACGTCCAGTCGACGAGGTGGATTTCCTTGGAAGTTAGTACGTAGAGAGGGTGCTTCGAGCTTATTTGTATAGGCGGGTGGATCAATAAAACGAGGGAAGGGAAAGTCGTCGCGTGCTGCTCGCGGGTCAGACGATTTCGACTCACCTAGATAGGCGTACCTGGGGCTGAATAGCCGAGGTCGTTGCAAACCAACCCGCGCATTTCGCGAAGGTCGAACCTGACGAAATTTAACCACCCCCTTCTATTCCGGCTTCGCGATCCATTTACATACCGCCACGAAATAACCTTCGACCCGCGAATATTTCTTCGAGAAAAGAATTTTCTGGCACGCACTTTCTCCTGAAAGCTAGTAAGCTTTCGTGGAAAGGGTGAGCGTGTACCAGACTAACAGTGTTGGGGCGAATAATATCAAACGTGTAGAAGAGTTTTGAAAAGAGTTTGCAGAGAAAGTTGCCATTAAAAATAAGATAGAAACGTAGAAAATTTATAAAATTAATGTAGTATTAATGCTGTTTAAAATTTCTTGAATTCTTTGTAATCGATGCTGGGTACGGTTTCTCGACAAGCCTAAAAATTCCAAGACTCTTTTCCTTTTAAATAAATCCGCGTATAGAAGAGTTTATGAATGATGACTGTGTTTCAAATTCAATATGTTAAATCCACATTCGTATTCCAGCCGAATGTACATCCGTAAACGATCCGCATTAATATATTTTGACATATCGATCGATTCGATTCGAACGGAAACTGACGGGAACACGAGTCCTCGCCCACTCCGTTTCTACGTTTCTCCGGGTTCTTTTAATCGTGTCTCGAGTATAATTTAAATCTCTCAGGATTAGTTATAAATTACCATCACCGAGTGGCCGTAGCCTCCCGTCGCGTCGATTCGTTTAATCTCGGCCGTAAAGCAAACTAATTAAGTACACGAAACGCGGCTCGGAGCAAATGTAGAAACCGGTCGAAAAAAGTGAAAGGAAATCGAGATTCCCATGAATCGATGGCGGCTATCGTTCCGTGCTGGTTCGTGGTGAAAAAAAAAATATATGTCGTTCACTCGGTCGACATTCGTTTCGAGAGTTTTGTCCCGTGGAAACAGGTACCCTTTCGAACGAAACGGCCCACCCACAAAACCTCGTCCGCGCCTCCATCCACGGGGATAAATCCGCAGAAATTCGTGTCTCTTTCCTCCCGCTGCGAGGACCAGCCTGTTCCCCGCTTAATTACACAACGACACTCCGCTTATCCGAGGAATAATCTCCGGCAACAGCTCGGTCCAGGACTGGGCAACAACGTCGGTGGTACGGGCTATGGCGTGCGCTTGTCAACGGGCTACGTTTACAGTCCACTCGAACGAAACCGCGTGAAAGAAGAGAAAAATAAGCACCAGGAAGCATCTAATATCTTTCGACGACCGTATTTGGCATGACAGAGATACGCGAGGGGACATAAATTATCTTGCAGATTTCTCGGGACCAACTCGATGCAAGAATAAAACCGCTTATTGGGTGGAACAGGGTAAACCGTGACGCATGATATTTTAATGAAAATTTTATAATTTGTCTAATGGACAATGGGGAAGAAAAGAAAGATGAGATAAAGAAGAGCTCTGGAAAAGGAAATGGTGTTTCTGGATGAGTCATTGTTTAATTTGTGCCTCTCAACGAAGCGAGAAACGTGTTCCCTGTTTAAGAGAATAATAGGATTAAAGAGAATTAAAATTTTGGAGATCCTTAGATCGGTAGAGTATCAATGCGGGTTTATAGTATTCCAGGAAGTTAAGATAGAATGACATTTGGAATTGTTAGGAAGAAATACTGATCTAATTCTGGGAATGTCTTCGTTTAAAAAGTGTGTTTTTCTTGTTAAATGATGCAATCGTCGAAAATACAGAAAGCTCTTGTCGAAAGCCGAGGCTTTAACCAGTGTTTCTCTGGTAAACAAAAACGCGATGGTATTTTTACTGAAAATATTGAAAAAGGCTAATCGCCTCGATATCACTTGAAAAAATACGCTTTTGTAGCGGCAGTCGATTGTTAGCTGCCTGGAATATCGTTACGCGCAGCTTGTCAATATTTTCCAATACAGTACGTCTATTGACAGAAATAAATAGAATGGTTTCTGCTTGTTAAAAGACATTATCGATTAACTTGGAATTGTTATTCAACTGCCTGAAAATGGAAAAAAAATCATGGCCAGAGAACAATTTGCAGTTTAACAAAATGAAAGTGAAAAAAGACCAGACTTCAAGTTTCTCAAAATATCTAAATTTCAATTTAATTATCACACAATTGTAGAAGCCATAATTAATCCGTGACAGGAGTGGAACTCGGTAACATAAAGAAGAGCGTTAATAGACAAGGTTTCTTTCAGTGCAACAATAACAGTAATTTGCAAGGCGTTGAATTCACGCCACGTCTAAGCATACATTTTCGTTCTAATTTTCCTTCGTGCAATTCCATTTCCTCGAAATCAAGGACAGACGACCGTATCTTTAAGATTTGAAAGGTCGTTGGACTCGCAAGCACATGACGCACAAAGAGAAATTCGTGTGACTACCACCTCGGACCACCCGTCGCGTATATTCGTCTAATTAAACCGTCGGACAGCTTATCCGTCACGATCTTCCTCGACGACACGAAGCCATCAACGCGGCTTCTGTTCGGTGGCCGACGACGTACGATTCGGCACCAAGAGGCGCGGAAACATTAACATAAAATGGGCGTTGGTGGCACCGCCACGCCTTACTGCTTCCTTCAGCCGCGGTTGGAATTTGTCCGCGACGAAAAGCGCGACCAACGGAGCCGCCAAAAACTCGCTTTTTTCCTTCGTCTCAAAAGAGAGGATCGTTCGGTTGACAGAGAAAAGTCTTTGACTGGGCGAGCAGTGAGACGCGTGGGCGAGCGGATAAATATCGAGATTACTTATTTTTCTTGGTGGACGAGTCGACGGCTCGTAAATGCCGTCGTATTTTCAACCCGCTCGGCTCGTCCTCGCGCGACGATCACACGGGACGACCGCCTGGGATTTTCTTGGAATAAGCTGAAAATTTGTGGAACCTTTTCGCTGCTCGTCCAGACCCGATTAATAACTGACTGCCATCGGGGCTCTTCGATATTGCCTTCAATTGTCTGCGAAGATAGAAATTCGTTTTCTGCATTCTGAACCGTCTTGCACATTGCTGATATTTTTGATAGTAGGACAAAGAAATTAGGTGGGACTTATTTTAAATTGAAAATGAAAGCAGAATTTAACTATTTATTGCTAGTATCAGCGATTTTTTCTGTGATTTTTATTCCAATTATTTCGAACAAGCGAAGTAGAAGAAATTAATTACCAGGTTATTTAAACTCTTAATTAACACGTTCGCTGTTAGAACTCACAGTCAGTTGGAAATTCGTCCATCATCGAGAACGTTGTATCAAATAATATAATTTATTGCAAGAATTTAATGCAACTTTACCAAACATTTTCAAACCCCACCGACATCAAAATAAAATAAAACTCCTTTCAATTATACTCTTAATGCACTTGTACGTTCTTTTACTGCCAACTAAATCCGCTAGTTTCGTCAGCAAAGTGCAACGAAACCGTGAGGGTCGTGAAAATTTTAACATCCACGACTTTTTCGCTGTTTCATTCGACTTCTTTCAAGAGTAGTCCGTTTACGGGCGCATATTTCGGCCTCTTAACGAGGCGTTTCGCGCCGCCGAACGGATCGTCGACGCTCATTAAACTCCTGTAACGAAGTTGAAACGAGACGATGTCCAGGACACGGCGCCCAGTAAAATTTCACACGTGTCGGCTCATTGTATTTCACCGTTCGCCGTCGCCACTCCCTCCGTGTCGCGTTCGTTTCGATGTGCTAAACATCAGGTACGGCGTCGCGGTGAGAATAACGAGCGCAAATAAAACGGTGTCAGCCACTGGTCCCAATTACCGGACCGCCCCGCCACAAAACGTGCCCGGTTCGTTGCCCGTCCACGATCATCATCTTTTAATCGTATTTTCTTGGCTCCATTCGCGAATCTCAGAGCCGTGATGCTTGGAAAAAAGAACAAACAGAAGAGACGGATCTCCTGGTGAAAAAAGTGCTGGTTAAAAGGTTATCATATTATTGGCAAGAACAGTTGTAATTATTAAACTTGAAGCTACGAAATTGTTTTAAATAAAAGTGCATAAATTTGTAGACCGTATTTGAACTTTATAAACATAGAATATCCCGTTGCAGTAGAATAGTCTTCAAAGAATATTGTTATAAATCGCGAGGATTAAAACGCTGATAAAAATTTGAATGTAAATAGCTCTAAAGTGCATAGAGACTGCTTCCTTGCATAAATTAACGTCAGCTTAGTGCTAGAAGTCGCTTGTTGGATGTCCAGCCTTCCATTACTTACAACGACGGTCAGTTTCCTCTACAAGTTATTGCTCATCACGCTCAGTTTTTATTAAAGTACTTCAATCCATCCGTTTACGTTATTTAGTAATTAAATACTGTCCCGTTATGCTTGCATAATTTTCTCGATAACTACGATCTTAATATTATACAAATAACAGAAATAACGAAGCTCGTTATGCTCTTAATATGTAATAAAATCTGGTTCTTGAACAAGTTTTGTTGCAACAATGTAATCCGGTGTAACCGTTCAAAATCCATGCACGTTATTTATTAATCGTGTTTATAAAATATTTCCATAGTCAAGAAGAATCATTAGCAACACCTGGCACGGATAATTTAAGAATATCTTCTGAATAATTCATTCGCTGATAGTAAAGTAGAAGCAACGTAGAATCTAGCGTAGGTTGAAAAAATTACAATTCACTGTTCGAAACCTGTCGTTAAAACACCATAAACTATCGTCGATCGTATCAATAATAATGAAGATTCGATCGGTGTGCGTATACACCTGTCGGGATCACGACCGCGATGAACTACGGTCACGTAAGCGACCATACGTGAGAATCTGGTACTCGTGGAGTCGAGAGGTGCTGTCAAGCTGGTAAGTGGAAAATAAGAGGTCCTTTGTTTCGAAGGGACGACCCTCGACGACGCCGTCCGAGAAATTCTCGATCCTCGAACGCGATACAGCCGTTTCGACCTTCGGGCTCACGCTCCGCCGACAGAATGGAACAACTCCGCGCGTTGTTCCATCTGAGAATGTGTGAAACGAGAAATCGCAGCAGCCAGGAATTCTTTAACGATACGTAACAAGCTTCCTGAAAAAGTTTCGTAAAAAGAATATATTCTCAACTATATAGAATTCCGAATGTCCTAAACGCTCTGTTCGCTTATCTCTATTCTACCTGCATTTCGCTGTATCTTTGTACCTCACTTTTATCACCGATCCACGATACAATCCCGTGTCGAAATGAAACGATTCATAGGAACGTGTCGGGAATTGCTTGTGTCGCAGGTGATCAAGGGGAACACGAACACCTACCTGGAATCGAAGCACGAGCTGGAGCCGCCGATGTGGGCTAGTAAAGTTCGTTTTCTACCGTACAGTTACCATCGTCGTACCGTTTGCATGCGCGTGGAATTGTACGGTTGCCCGTGGAACGACGGTATCGTGTCGTACTCGATGCCGCAGGGTGACAAACGCGGCAATTGGGAACTCTTCGATGCAACTTACGACGGTTATTGGGACGGTCAGCTTCTGCGTGGCATGGGACAACTGACAGACGGCAAGATCGGGCCGGATAACTTCAAGATGGGCTATTACGATTACGACAGGGGTCAGGGATGGGTAGGCTGGAGGAACGACACTAGATCCGGCCATCCTCTAGAGATCAAGTTCGAGTTCGACCACGTCAGGGAATTCTCGGCTGTGCACATTTATTGCAACAATCAGTTCACCAAGGATGTACAGGTGAGTGTTTTGTTTTTCGATAAAAGATACGATCGAAACTAGGAAATATCGTGGAGAATTTATATCGGTTTGATAAACCAGATGAGTAGCATTTCCGTTTCATAATGTTCCCTTCCAATTTATTCCATCAACCGCACAAACTCGTTCTCGATTTCCGTGGCAAAAAGGACCGCACCTCGAGCCGTCCACTTTAAATTTTAATATTTTGATTCGTTATCCGTATCGCCATCGATATTCGGTCGACGATGGAATTTCCAGCGGGTCCTCCTTTATCAGCAATCTCTTTGAACGCAACCCCGGCCACGTTATTTTCAAATTTCCTCTATGATCGTTCACCGAACATCCGCGAAAACGCGCGAAAAAAAGAGCCCGACCAGACGCGAGCACGACAGGGAGGAAATTGGAAGGGCCCGGGGCGGTGACTCGCCAACGTGGCCAGAACTGCGATACAGAGAAAGAGCAAACAAAAAAAAAAGAGAAAGAAGAAAAAAATCGAAACTACACGTTAAGCGAAATAAAGAGAGATAAGCAGAGGATGGATAGAGAAGGAAGAGGAGAAATGGGAAACGGACGGTGGTGGCGAAATGTACGCGAAGATCTCATGCCAACCTTTAATCCGCACCCTGTAGGAGAACGAAAGGAAACCAGAGGGAGAAAGGAGCATGTACACTATGAAATCCAGGTTCTATGTTGAAGTCAAGGTCAGACGTAGGATGGGTAACGAGGCGCAACAACGGTTAGCCCCTGGCTTTGCGATGGAACGGATGGAAAGAGAGAAAGAGGAAACGAGCCACGAGTCAGAGGCGCGCGACTTTACAGGGTGCGAACAACGCTGCTGGGTGTTGCTAGTTTCTGCGAAAATTTTCCGGTCCCCTGTGCTTCCGGCCGCGAATTTCTATATAATATCCTCGTCCCGGTATCAAGATTTATTTCAATGGAAACCCTCATTACCCTGGACAATCCACTGTTCCGTAAACGAGAAAAGGACTTGAAACATCGAACAACGACAGAAGAAGGAAATAACTTTGGAGATTTTTTTAATTCTGCTTTCGTTCTGATATGTTTACTTAATTTGCTATCGCACATGATTTCTACGTTAAGCACAAATATGATCCAAGCGCGTAACCCATCGTTCCAACGTAAAGGGTTAAAATATAAGTTATCCAGAAGGACGTCTGATCTCTATGGAACAGGGCGTCGAAACACTCTCCACACTGGTATCAAGATTTATTTGAATGGAGCGCCTCATTACCCAGCTCGAGGCTGGATTGTGTGCTCGCGAGCGGGCAAAGATGGCGAGGGCCGATGGAGAGGCGGAAAACGAGAGGTGGCGATGGCAAGGGCAGCAGAAACGACGGTGTATCGGCTCTCGAAGGGGAACCGTTCCTTCATTCTCGGAGGAACGGTTCTCGGAAGACAGGAAGGGAACGTCGAGGAGCAAGAGGAACTGCGTTTCTCTCTCGTGCACGCACAATGGTAGCAAGCAACGAGCCGAAGAGCAGATACGCCACGTATTCAAATACAATACCGACAGTCTGGCAAGTCGGCAGTCTATGGTTGAGGTAGGAGGACGGTGCAAGGGGTAAAAGATGGTAGCAACCGCCCCTAAACGTCCCCTTCTATTAACAAGCGCCCGCTCGCGCGGATAGGACACGTCTTCTGAAAGACAGCACTTCAAAGCATCGCCAGTTTCGCGCTCCACGTTTCACTCTCTCTCTCTTCTTCCCAAACTTTTCAAACATTATTTAAAATATATAGCATCGCATGTTTAAATCGGATAGAAAGAAAATTATATATGAATTAAGTTTATGAATATACAGTGGCGCGCAGAAGTATTCGGACACCGTTTAAAACAGGATACCTCATTTAAATTTGGACCAAAGGACTTGAGATTTCTCGAGAAGCTATACAAATTAATTTACTAATTGTAAGATATGTGCTTCTGTCTTTTTAAAAAATTACAATTTGTCGAAATCGGGAAAAAATAGTAAAGGGCAATTTTTTAATTTTTTTATTTGAGCCTGTAATTAAAATTTAAAATATGGCATTTGTAATTTCTAAGTGCATTGACTGATCTTATAAATTTTAATTATAGGCTCAAATAAAAAGTTACAAAATTGCCTTTTACTATCTTTTCCACGATTTCGACAAATTGTAATTTTTTAAAACGGCAGAAACACATATCTTAGTAAATTAATTTGTATATCTTCTCGAGAAACCTCAAGTCTTTTTAAATGAGGTATTCTGTTTTAAATAGTGTCCGAATACTTTTGCGCGCCACTGTAGGACCATATATTTTTAAGTAGATTGCAAAAATTATTAAGGTGCTTATGGATTAAAACTATCGATTCAGAAGTTATTATCTTCCTAAACTCGTCGTCTCGCGAGCGATTTCGTGGCCACGTCTTCGTCTTCTCCAACTTCCCCGTACTCTTCATCTCGTCTATCCGCCGACGTGCCACGGCAAGCTTCGACGAGGCTGCCTTGAAAATCCATACGCATCGCCGTTGCGTTCCTCTTCAGGGCTAAGAGAGTTAGATAATCTCAGCTTTGTAATCTCCGTTTCCACGTCCCTCGCGCTGTTCCACCCTTTCCTTGTCTCTCTATCTCTCTCTCGCGCGTCGTCCTGCTCTTAGTTTCCGGCAGGCATTCTACTCGCGCAACTATCTTACGCTTTCCTGGAGCGGAATTAGCATTCCACGCGCCTCCCGCCTGCCGGCGAACGCACAATCGCCTACAGGAGGCTCGCAATTATCGAAGTCGTCGATGTCAACCGAGTGTTGCCTCTATAAAGATGCTCGTTATATCCGTAATAAATAGCTGTCTGTATTTGTGGATGAGAAACTATGGGATATATTAATATCCCAGGCTTGTTCCTCGGCGAAACGATGCAGCAACCCCTTCAGACGCTGATTTATACAAATAATTAATGCTGAATATTAGCCACTGCATCATGTTTGCCGTACACAATGGGCAGCTTCATTCCACTGTCTGATATAACCTTTGTCGCGATGTGTTTTACATATTTCTCCTGTAACTTGGTTTATGGGTACATGCGTTCTGTACATCCTCGTTTAGAATACGATCTCTTGCGCTAGTTCCTAGGAAAGTTTGCTAATAGTTCACGAGTGATATTATTCTGCGAATTAATACTGCAGAAAAATAAAGAATGCAGAGGCTGTGAATATTTCATAGGAATTTGTGCTATGTGCTCTTCTGTTTTTGTAAAGAAGAATCACGGTAATAAATTATCACTGATTTTAATTTCTTTCTTGCTCAGAGGACAACCTTTTTTCTCTGTAAACAGGTGTTCTCCGAGGCCAGCATAATGTTCAGCGTCGGTGGTCGCTACTACACCGGCGATCCAATCGTGTATTCCTACATGGAGGACAGGATCTTCGAACACTCGAGGAACATCTCCATCAAGCTGCACCATCGTATTGGCAAATTTGTCAAGCTGCGATTCAGCTTCGCCTCGCGGTGGATCATGATCAGCGAGATAACCTTCGACTCCGGTGAGCATAATTTGCATAGTCCCATCACCTGTAACGCGGATCAAAGACACGCGATTTTATAGTATTCTACATATTTTGATTGTTTTATCGTTTCAGACGTGGCACACGGGAACTTTACTCCGGAATCACCGCCCACGACCGAAGCACCGAGGCAAAGAGATCGAATCTCGGCCCGTGACAATCCTCTTCAAGCCGAGGTGCCGGTCGTCAAGCAAGATGATCCAACTTACATGGCCGTGATTATCGGTGTTTTAACCGCGGTGATCCTCTTGCTGGCGGTCGCGATCTTTTTGATCGTCACGCGACACAGGCAACGCAAGAATTTCGCCAGTCCTCTGAGCACCAAGAGCGCGATTCCCTCGGGCAATCATCAACACCTGTCGCCAGAATCCGCGTACGGTACCACGGAGAAGGATCCGTCGTTGATGACCTACAGAGTTGAAGAACTAGACGACAGGTACGCCGGTACCAAACTGACGACGCTGCCTCGCGATCTAAACGATCGTCTGCTAGGCGATGTCAGGCTCGACGAGTACCAGGAACCCTTCCACGAGAGCAAGTATCGGGAACCACCTCATGCAGCTTATTACGGATACAGCACCGTTGTTATAGACAACAAGGACCTTCACGACAACGTTGAGCAGTCTGGTAAACACGATCGATGCCCGGTGTTGTCTTGACACTTGTTGGGACACTTGTTGGCACGCTTGTTAGATTAGTCAATTTTGAATTGATCTTCAAGTACTTGATATTTAATTTTATTGAAAAAGATTCAGTTAATGGAACGAGGATACTGATTATCATAACAAAGTACAGTAGCAATCTCTTTTTAAATTATTCACATTATGATCAAAAATAGATTGAATAATAAAATATAGGAAGTCTCAAGTTCTAATGAGTAATTGAACTGTTAAATTAAGTAAATTATTAATTTGTTTACAGATGCCACCTACGATTACGCGGTACCAATGCCTGTGCCTAGTGTAAGCAGCGATCAGGATAGCGTTTTCTCAAAATCTTCATCAAGGGGTAGCGCGAAGGTAAGTTAATTTTGTTTTATTTATCTTATAAAATAATAAATATTTAAGAAAATACTTCTCTTTCAATATCTTTAACTTCAATTTCAATCACGGATTTAAGATCGCTCTGTAAATTCAGCATCTATTTTGACAATAAAGTTTCCCCTTTAATAATAATGCTAAAAGCAATAATTAATCATTATTTATAAACATTAATATTCATGAAATTACATTATTAATTATTTCCTATTAACAATATTCATTATTTTTTAAGAAAAAACATCATTTAAGGGAAAAATTATTGGATTAAAATTGGGTTAATTTTAAAGTAACGTAACTTATTTATTATAATATTTACAGAAATTACAATTATATCGTTAGAAGCAGTGTTTCGTGCACTTTATAACAGTTTTCGTTTCATATCGACACGATTTTCCGTTACCGAGATATCGTCGTTTGAAGATAATCGTAATTTTCCGTGTTTCGTTACGCGTGTCTCATTCGCTCCACTGGACCTCTCACTTGCTGTTCAATGAAGTCACGTGATTTTTACTATTACTATACTACTACTACCGTGCGTACGCACTTCCAGGAAAAAATGTAGGTCACGCCAATTCATGGAAATTCGATTGTCATTCATCAATCTCGCGGCATCTTACGCGCTAAACTTTAAACTCCTATATCTCGGGAACCAATTGAACTATCGCCTTGCAACAAAAGGCGTTATCAATATCACGTTCCCCTCTATCTTCTGAACATAATTAATTATAAAATTTTGCAATCTCTCTAATTGTTTTTAATAATTGATATTACAACACTACGTTTTCCTACTAAAAGAAATACGTAAATTCTATTAGTTTGGTGGGATTACTTATTAACACTCCTATTATAGGTCCTATTACAAGTGTTACAAATGTAACATTATAAATTTGCAATGCATGTTAAGCTTTGAAGCCTCGTATCTTGGGAACCAATTGAGCTATTGCCTTGCAATAAAATGCACTATTAAAGTAATATTTTTCTTTATCTTATTAATATAATTAATTGAAAAATTTTCCAAACCCCATGTGAGTGTTTTAAAAATTTCTGTTGTTAAAATATAAAGGATATTGTTAAATTATTAACAAATTAATATTACAGTGTGCTCGAACAATGTATTTAATTTCTTTTTTTTCTAATGTTGCAACAGGCATGCTTGCAGAGTTTTTTCCCCCCACCTCCGCCCCCAATGAGTGCGCCACCCCCACGTGGCTCCAGTAACCTGACATATTCGAACCCACCGAGCCCGGAACCCGTTTGCGAGCGCGAGCGTAGAGGAAGCAAACGTCGTGAACACTCTTTGCACAGATACGCGTAAGGATTGCTGTGTCCTGCAGAATGTACGCGGCACACCGCTGGGTCGAAGGTACGACAGAATTTCGTGCTTCACACAGAGAGATCAAACGATTGATCAAACCCTTCAGCATCCATCGGTCTCTCATAAATCATCTCGCTTTTCCTTCCATTCTATATCAGACGCAAACATTTCATGATCTCGTCTGATCTTTTTTCCTCTGCATAAATGTCATTTTCAATACACGGTTAACACTAAAAAAAAAAAGAGGCAATCATTCGACAATGGATGCTGAAGGCAGGGCGAAAACTCGAACGCTGTTAGCGTCGAAACGAAGCTGAAGAGGACGAAGAGGAGGAGGAGGAGGAGAAGATGACAGGAGAGATCGAATCGACTGCGACGAGGCAGGAAATTTTTCGCCATATCGAGGCGTCGTTCTTTCCTATTAAATTTCAAAAGTCCAATTAGATTGAACGCAGCTTCGACACGATCGATCTCATCGGTATCTCTCTCAACCAACACTGCCATTGGCGCACTTTCGAGTAACCGTACCTCGAGTGCCGCGATTAAGAGGACTCAACCCGCTTTCCTGGTGGGTGAAGTGAGCATAACCGGAGTTGTAACTACAATTGGCATATCAGTTTAGCGACAGCGTTATCGCCTGCTGTCGACTCTTCTGGGGATCTTGAAACGCTCGCCAGCCGAATCTCGTGCTCCCGAAACGAACGTCTCGCTTCACGAGCCTCTACAATTTTTATTTTACCGCCGGCTTTATCGTTCTCATGTTCGCACAGGGTGTGCATGACCACGAACCAAGCACGTCGAACACGATTCTTCGAGACGTAAGTAGGGGTTGAAATAATTTAAAAAATAATTTTCCATAAGGGTAGTAAACAGAAATTTCAGTTATCCACCACGGATTTTTATTGTTTAGTCGAGGAACGTGAATTTCATATACCACTGCCGCACATTATCAACGTAAAAATGTTATACATTCATACAACATTTCTTTTAAGTAACATCAAAAAATCTTTCCAGTTTCCTGTATGTAAGAAAATTATTTTAATCCCGTTCCTTAAAGTTCAACCTTTGAATAAATTACACGTCTCAAAAGTGTTTTACAAGTTGAAATAACAGAGTCGTATTTTTCGTCGACATCGTGCGCACAGAGTTCACGTTCCGTGAACATTTACCCGCTCGCTGCCGCATTTATTCCACGCGTGTAAGCGAGTTTCATAAAGGAATTGTAATTCGCGGCGTCGCGTTTCCGCGCGGAAAAATGCAACCTTCGTAAGGAGGAAACCTTTGCACGACGATTTGAACGGCGAGCGGATTTCCAGAAGGAGTCGCGCGAGTTTCATGGTTTCGTCTGTTCGACGCGCATGTGCAACCGGATCGAGCTCGTTATCGATTCGCGGTGGTTGAGTAACAGCTTTTTAAATAAGATATTTTTGCGACCGCGTCGAATCGACACGCGACTGATAATTAATCGTCGTTAATTGCCGGGCTCAAGTACAATCGACGGTCGATTCTCGAGTCGGTCGCGTGATTAAGCGAACGTCAGTTATGGCTCGGAGCGGAAAGAAAAAGGGAAACGAACGCGCGAGTAAGAAGATCGACGCGATGGTATCGAACGCGTCGGGGGTAAAGAAAGAAACCATGGGGGACGGAAGATTTGTGGGAAAAAGGAGAACGTTAGCGAGCTTCGATCCCGCCTCACACAAGACTGACGTCAAATAAATAATTGAGTATCTCGGATGCGCTACGTGCGGAGGCGCGTGCGGGCGTGCTCTCATGTATTCGTCGTATTATTTATTGTCGCTGCATTATAGCGACCTTTAAACGAATCTTTAATTTATATACGCTGTCTATATGTCGCAGTAAAAACGTAAAGTTCAGTGAACGTATGCATTTACGTAGGATTTTAACAAAATGTCGACTGCAATGCACACATTTGTTGCAACGCATTGATAGAAACATAACATTAAAAACTTACTCTTTTTATGTATATTTAAAAAATGGAAATAGAAAAATTTTATTTAATAAATTTACGAATATTCAGTATCAAATATGAAAATTTATTTCATTATTTGTAAAGACATTTATTGCATTAATATTTTTACTGTGACATATGTACGTACACACATAAACACAATCACACACGCGCACGCGCGTATGTATGCGATGTATATATACAATAAACGGAGGAAGAACAAATACATATATATATAAATAGATATATATATACAAAGGTAATGCGTATTATTGTGCGACGGCGATTTTTAAACGTATAATAACGATATATATAAATATAAATATATTGTATAAGCCCGACTTTATTTCTCTATTACTACCGACATCGCCTTCATGCAACGAGGAAAATCGAGGGATTAACTGACGTAAGGAATCGACAATACAGGGATGAGACAACAATAACTAAATACATGTGTACGTAAAAAAAGAAAAGGACGCGAAGAGTATGGTTTAATAAATAGCACGTGTACGGAAATGAAAACCGACCACATTGTGATATATTAAGGAAACTAATACTAATAAGATCGAACGAACGTGAATTGAAAGGAATCAGATTGATAATCGCGGGTTGATCGCGTTGACGACAAGCTTTTCTCTGAATTTCTTTCTTTATTTTCTATTAGATTTAACCAAAACCGTCGGCTTTAGAAGATAAGAAGTCACTTTATTTCATATCATTATTGCTATCTCTAAGCAAATGTTATTTTTACAGAATCATATCACTGCTTCGTCAACAATCTAATCCATAGTTTGTAACATTTGTTAAAGAAATTCATCGGAAAGCTTTGGGCACGACGAAGAGAGGGAAACACGCGTAGCGTCTACAACGATCGGAACTTACCTATGTATATTTAGTGTTTAATCGTCTAAATCGTCGCCAGCGTAGAATGTTAAAGTAAATTCGTAAGAGTGACAGCTTCGAGTGCTTCGAGTGTAAATATAACCGTTAGGGACCTCGTGACACTACACGTACACACATGCACTAATTATACATACACGTACAAACACACCTTTCAAGCGCCTTAAGTTGGGGAGGGCACTGAGCAAATAACTTTGTCGCAATAATGATCGTCGTTTTCTTTTCTCTGCTCCCCTTGAAAAAATAAAAAAATAAAAAAATTCTCAAGACACGACGGGTGGGGAGGAATATCACGTACAAGGGATTCACGTTATCGTTAATAACTCAGCGAGCGGACTGATAAAAGAAGGTTCTTCTTCCTGCTCGACGATCGACTTTTGGACGCGTTCGTATCGCGCGTCTATACGCTCGTCGTGTTCGTTCCAAGTTTCGCGCTTCCGTATGACAATGTTACGCGAGCGCGCGAACAGAGGGAACGAAGGAGAGATCCTTATCGCGCGACCTGCTATTTTTCACCGAACTTCTGCAATAACCCCGGCACCGAGCATTAAGTACCTTCAACTTCCTGCACTTCCAGTACCTAGCAGTCCGCTCCTGGCAATAATCGTCAATTTATCTTAAGCGTGCAGAAAGCGGCAAGGGGACGACGACGTTCACGCGCATACTATACGTTAAGGAAGAATTAAATCAATAACCAAGCACGGGTGTCGAGAGAATCGAGGACTTTAGATAATAAAAAAAAAAAATATATATATATAGGAAGAAGAGATGATCGTTAAGGAGTCGATCCTCTTGGACGGAAAGGTAGATAAAGATGACGAAGGACAGCACTTTCGGTGTGGCTGCTCGCGGCGTACTTCTTTGGAAACTTTATGGTTCCTTTGTGCAGCGTAGCTGCATGCTGCCGACATGTCAATGACAACGGCGCCGAGTGTGCACCGAGATCGTAGCGATATCGCACGACCGCTCTAAATCGTCCCTGTAACACGGCCGAGCTTATTCTCCGCTGTTTTATTAAATTTTGCACGTTCAAGTTCCGTGTCACGGTTCGATAACGGCCTTCTAGGATTTTCAATTCTTTCAGAAATAACGACCGATCGTGTCAACGTTAAAATAACTACAAGTTAAAGTTGCATAAAGAATTTCCACCCTGGTACGTTTGCAAAGATTAAAAACGAGCATTCTAAATGTAACTTCCAACCCCTTTAGAAATGTACGAAAGGGTCGCGGGTAAACATGAAACTTCCAAAAGAACAAGAAATATCAGAGTTTTTCGTTCCGTTGGACGTTTGCAGCGCATTCGAATACAGCGATTACCATGCCCCGGCGACTGCTGTTTCCTGGCGCGCCCTTTATGAGCCCGTAATTTTTTATTCCCCCCCGCGACGTCGAGCGTCGTCGATGCGGAGATACGCGAACACGGTCGACCGATATCGGCGAGATACGACACGATCGGTTCTGCATCGGTACGTACGCACAGAGAAGACACACACCGGAGAGGGGCGACCGAGGAAGCTATGTTGTATAAATCACTCGTTGCAACCCTTTTTCAATCCGACATGAGAAATGCGGGAAGAAGCTTGCCGATAGCGCGGCGGGGAACGGGACGCACCGAGGAAAACTGGCCCATCTTTTATTCGACGACGTACGAGTGCGTACGAGAGACTCGTAAAGGGGAGAATTTAAAAAAAAGAGATGAAAGGAGGTGCTGTTTGATCGACTAACCCTCAGGGCTCCATTATCCATGCATATATACCAATTTTATGCGTATTGTAAGACCTTTATTCATTTATTATATTTATTTAATTTAATTGATGGGTTTAATTTAGGATTCAATTGGAAATTCATTCATCATAGATTACTACTTTTTTAAAAATAACAGCAATCTTTCATAGTATAATTTCCTTTATTAAAATGATAGAATTTTATTTCGCTGAATTCCTTCAAACAACGTATGTGTAAAAAATGTTGGTGTACCTGGGTGCAAAGTCGTCTCATTGATCACGGCCAATTCGTGCACCGATATCGATCGTACGAATACGAGCGATGCTCGGTGATTACATGCAGCTGCAGCTGCACGCAAACAGTTAACGAGAACGCGACGAGCAGTCACGAGGACGGAAAACAACGACAATGGTTTATATCATAGGTTTAGCAAGGATAATGGCAGCTTAGGAGAACGTTCTCACCACCCTGAAGCTATTAAACGCGCCGCATTATCTCTCAATGTATATAGCAATTGTAATTTATACATATATTATGTGTAAACGTATTATAAATAAGCCCGTCGACGCGCGGGGAAGCGACCATTCTTTGTATATAACTGTAACATATAGCGTAAAGTATAAAAGGTGAGCGTGAAAGAAAGAAAATAACGTACTGGAATGTTTGGGTGCAAGTACGAGCAATGAAGTAAAAAATGCAAAAAAAAAAAGAATAATTAAATAAATGATACCACTGTGAGTGTAATTATATCGATCAATAGCATAACGAGTAACGGATGCATATTTGATATTTGTGTGCCTGTATCCTTTTGTATGCTAACGAGATAGAAAAAAAAAAAAAATAAAAACTATACATATTATATTGTACCAATTGCGACGTAGGGGAAAGACTACGAGTAATGAGGTGTAACGTGCACACGATCAACAAGATGACATGAAAAAATACATACACACAAGCGTACAGAATACTTTTCCATACGTACACACAGACACAAGACCAGACTATATGTCCTGGGTGGACGAAATAAAACTTTTAGCGAAGCGGAATCGAGTCTATAAATATCCGAAGGAACCCGTGACGATTCATTTTATCCCTGATTCCCAGATCCTCCCTTTTCCTTTCGTTCCACCATTATCGTGATGTAATTCGACAGTTTTACTAGCCTGATGGCTGGAGGGAACGACAGACAATGGAAAAGAGAAAAAGAACACCATCGAAGTTACGTTCTTTCTGCAAATATTTTATCCCGAAAGATATTTCTGGATTGCTGTTTACCAACGTCGCTGGAACGTCGACTAACGTCAAACACGTACGAAGAATCGATACGTTGGATTGGTGTTCCTTCACGCAATTTTTAATAAAGATCACCCAATGGTGAATCTGTGTCCTGGTATTTTTAGAATGAATCATTGCGCTGGAAAATTCGTTATAGGATATGCACCGATTTCGATGAACGACAAATCGAGCGAGAAACGTCGTCGATCGTGCACAGATTCATTGGAAGCTAATTACCAGGTAATACTACGATAATCCGGCTATCAGTTGGCTCGGCGTGGAATTGATGGAGCTTCCGTAAATGCTGCTTAACCTTAATGAATGGATGCGCGTTGAAAGCGACCACCAACCCTTTGATTATTGCCACGCGACCACCTCCGATATCGATTGTCCTAAGAAAATAATCGAGTTTAATCGTGCTCGAATTCGTGGAAATTATTAGGTCAGCCAAGAAATTTTCTTGCTAACGGTGTAGTAACAAATAATTACGACGAAGTGATAATCAGTCGTGTTGAAGATACACGTCGTTCGGGGAAGATTTTACAAGCAGACTGATGCATCCGTTTACATCTCACGTGACGACGTCTTTTCGCGGTGGCTGTCGTCCTTTCATCGTGCTAATTTGGCACTGTCAACCACGCCATTTGTCATTCTAATGGCCAAAACGACGGCCAGCACGTTTTTAATGACTGCTCGACAAGATCGCTTCCTCGATCCGCGTCCTCGCTGTTCCTACCGTTTCTTTCCCGCTAGTTCCTCTTTAATTTGCCCTCGACACGCTGCTTTACGCTCTATCGTCCGTTCCCCTCTGTTTCTTGCTCCTCTTTTACTCTCGTCTCTTCTTCATTCAAGTACAATTTCCTTTCATTGCGATGCAAAGACGAGTCGAACGCTGCTACCCTTCTTTTCCCGTTTCGAAACTCCGTTATTTTCATTCTTTTATTTTCAAATCTTTTTTTCGAACCGAGTTTCTTTTCAACAAATCCTTTTCAACAAACATTTAAAAACTAGCTGGCCACGCGGGATGGTCTTAAATCGTAGACGCGCTGGAAGACGTGTTTAAAACACGTTCTTCCATCCTGCGGGATGTATTCCCTCAAAATTACGCTTGCTCCTTTGGCCTGGCCCGCTGTTAATTAATTCCCGCGGTTATTAGTGCTCGTTGCTTTCCTTAAGCCACGGCAACCACCGCTCTGCTCCCTCTTTGTTTCAACCCCGTTTATTTCGTTCTTTAATTCGTTATCCGAGACGGATACAAATTTTAGCGAGCAGCCTGCCTAGATAATTATACCGTCTGTGAACGCTCGTTCTTTCCTTTTCTCTGCTTTAGCTAGACGCATTAGGAATTGTTCCCTGGTTTTTCGAAGACACAATCGTCGCGTTACGAACAAAATTTTCGAAACGTTCAATATCGTTACAATCATTGTTGCAAAAGGATAAGAAATGATTCTTAGCGATAACTTGAACGTTCACGTTAACGCGATCAATTCGCTGGAATTAGACTGATGGGCTGTTTCCACAAAGCTTTCACGAATAGCCTGGCAGACACAATCGACTCCTTCACCTGAGAACGACGAAAAGGTGGGCCCGTTAATGCGCTTCCTGCGCAACCCTCTAACGAGTGCCATTATTGTTTCCCATCCATCACGCGGTTCGAGAGCGAACGAGCGCTGCGACGGCAAATATATCTCACCCTGAAAATGTTGCTGCATCACATCCGAAATTACGGTCGAATTCTAGGCTGGGCCGAGCAGGGCTGGCGACGAGCGCCTTTGTGCCACGGGCCTGTTATCGCGCGTCCTAATTTGTCTCCCGATTAGGCGTTCGCGTGAATCCTCTTCTCTTGAAAAATCTAGGCGTGTCTCTGGTAATTGTTACTCGCGAACGTCACGTGGGTTGGGGATGACGAAAGAAAGGTAGAGAGAAAATAATACGTTCAGATGATTTTTATATAGACTGAAGTCTCTCGAAGGTGACAATACTAATTTTAGTAAGAATAATTTTTGATAAAACGAGGCAGTGTTAAGACAGAAATGAGGTCACAAATTATTTGAAGTATGACAGGGTATTCGTGTGATTTCTGGCACGATAAACCGAGCAATGACTATAGTGTTTTAATTTAATTGAAGATTTTTACAAATTATTAAAGATCAAACCTTTATTAAATGTTATATAAATATATAACTGAGAAAATGAGTTATCTAAATAACTCGGAAAGAAAATTAAGTGAATTAAATAAATAGCTCTGAAAGAAAATCGGGTAAATTAAATAATAACTCTTAAAATGATTTATTTACCAAGCCGCATGAAATGAATACAAGATTGTCAAACAATTATTATTTTAAGCTGTATTTGACTGATTAAAAAAAAAAATAGAATCAAAGAAAGTCTTTCCAATTGTAAATACAAGGTGTGGTAAAAGAGAAACTGGTGAAACAAGCACGATTGTCATACCGAGTGTGCTCTGTACATGCAAACATAATCTCACCTGGGGGTGTCAGGGACCCCGAAAATGATGGCCCCTCGGGAACAAAAGCATGCCAAGTCTTCTTGTATCTGTAGTCATTGCTCGATGCTAGCAGATAACTACGTTAGCCACAAGTAAATCCGAGCCTGGTGCTGGCCACGGTGGAACTTTACGAACCGGATGCCAAGCATGGGGTTCAACAATCGCGTGCCTGTAGAATTCTGCGCCCTAGCGGCTTCACGAATACGTGGTAACCACGAAATCACGGGATTCGATGCATGACCTACGAGCCGAATACGATTTTGGTCTCCAAAGTTCGTGAATAGCTTGTGTTACAGGAAACCTGCCGTCTGCCATTGTGAATTTTCAAGAGAAAGATCAAATAAAAGCGAGGGAAAATATTTATCATGTCATTACCGAAGCGGTAATAATAATTAAATGAAATTGAATGTAGCAAAAATTTCTTCCCCGTCGTTTTAATCATTGAAAATGAAGGAAAAATTATTTGACGGATTAGGAAGGCGTGTATTTGGTTTCCATATAGAATATGAATAATGAGAACCCGTTGGATTACAAGGCGCGAGCTTTCAAGAGATTAATCTTCGGCTGAACCGCTCGATCCCTTAATCTCCTTTTCATTAAGTGGCGTTTCAGTGCTCGACATTAGAAACGAACTCTCGCACGGCTGGCACAAAGAGGCTGCCGCACTGTGTGCTCGCGAAATAATAACTACACGAGCTCGTTACTTAATTAAACGTCCATTCAATGTTACTGTAAAAATTCAACGTCAGTTAAACAGACGTGAAGAACAATGCAAGAGTATTCTTGCTGCAACAATGAAATTTTAATGATACATTCATCCGAACGGTGAGTGTAAAGCAACAGCTTCGAGTCTATGGCCATTTAACAAAACTTCATTAGGAACCTTAATTACGGACTAATACAATTTCCTCCTTTCATAGTTAATGTTTCATTAATATTCATAATATATATATAGAGTTTAAATTTTCGAACCGTGTATAAAAATTATTCTTCCTCTGCTGTATCTCATCTTTGCTTAATGCAAAAAGTGCCCAGGAGAAGAGTTAAAAATTCAGCGAACCATTCGACCACCAGCGTGTTCCAATATTTCACGCAATTAGCAAACGCGAACCGGTGACATATTTCGCAGAATTGTGTCGAGAGGAAGCGAGGAGGATCCTGAAGGAGGGTCCCAGTGATTCTTCAACACCGTCGAGGAATATCGGATGTCAAATGGCCCTGCTGGAAGACAAATATTCTCTTCAGTGGGAAACGATACCGTTGGTCCATCGTTGTCTCTCTCAACGGTTCGTTAGAACGTCCAACCTCGCTACGCAGCATTATTTTTGCCCCTGTTTTCTCTCCTCTAATTGCCAACAGGAAGCCACTACTCAACGGGACGGCGTATCGCGAACACTGAGAGTCCTTTCAAAAGGAGCGAAATCGCTCGGCAAATTCGTAACAGCCTTTATAATTGGAGCGACTTGCCATCGGGGACGTTTTATTTTTGGAACTGAAAATATCTACTTTCGGACCTGCATTTCGTATTACCAGCATCGTGGTGCATAGTAGAAGGGAAGAAAATCAAAAACACACCGATTAACCAACTATTTATGCATCGAATCAATCGAATTGCATAGCTGCATTCTTGATTTTTCAATCAAGTGCATCGGATGCAGCGGAATAAGCCCTGAGGTAGTTCCTACCAAAAGTAGAGGAGAACTTTGAGGTAGCTGAAGAACCTTTCGAAGCGTTTGCATAGGGAATATGTGTACGGCGAAGTGGTTTCCTTCTCGAATACCCTGTCAGTGACATCTAGACTCTAGATGGTACAGCAATAGCAGGAGTGGCTTCGATGAAATTGATCCGATCTGCTGGTCCTCTCGAGGCCACTTCGGTGCCGAAGCAGTTTATCAGCAAACTAGTACTCGAATATGATGCGGCTTGGGGTGTCTGTCGAATTGGCTAGCCAAACGATGTTCGACAAGCTGATACGATCTTTTTTAATCGACTGATCAAGCAGGATGATTCGTGGGATCTCGTGGTCGCGTTTCATCGTTCACCGTTCACGAAGTGGCTGTTCATTTAAATGTGCAACCAA